GTGTTTTCTCATTTTTATTTTTGTTGTTGGGCTGTCCTTGGTTTAGTCTCTGGGTTATTACCCAAATCTTCCTGATATAGTTGCGCCCTAGCTTCTTGGTCTCTAACAACCCACAGACATTCTCATCTTCATAACATCAGAGAAAACAGCTCATGGAATCAACCACAATCCTTTATCTCCGCTGATACAATCAACAACACATTAAGATCAAGCACAACTTGGAAACTGACCACCTGTGGTAGTCACTAGTCTATCACCCTTAAATCATTTAAATTAAATTGAAATCAAGAAGAACATGTCTGCAGTGAACAAAATTTCAATATAGTATATTTACCATTTAATGGCTCAGACAGAGCTAGGATGCAAGACCCCTGATCTCAGCTAGCTGATGGCTGAACCCCATGATGCAGACTGACCTCAGGCTGCAAGGCCCAGATTGAGTTCCTCAACCTTCTGAATGGTTGAACTCCACACCATTCTACTACAGGTTTCCCATGCTCTCTTTAAAGATGTTCAAAGTTGGGAACTCAGACCCACTGCAGAGTGGGTCCAAAGACTGGCACAATCAGGAGGTCTGAGAATGCGTGGGTGGGGAGGTAAGGTGAGTTATGGGAGTTCAGGGGCTCCCACGAGGCTACCTTCCTGGCGCTGGAGTGATGGCGGCTGGGGTGAGAGAAGGCAGGGCTTTCCTTCCTGTGGTGGATCAGGGCCCAGGTACCTTCTGGGCAGTGGAGCGATGGTGGCTGGGGCGGGAGAAGGCCTAGCTCAACTTTTTAATGGAAAGATAAAAGGGAAAATTCCTATCTTGTTAAGATTGCCAATTTTCATGGTTTAAGTATTTCTATTTTGTTTAATTTCAAGCATCTAACATAGTGTTGTTGGATGGAATTCATACTACTGGCTCTCACAAGGTATTATGAACAGATTTCAGTACTCTGTTGTGTGTATTTATTTCATTATTGTATTCCTAGTTCATAGAACAGTGCCTACCACACTTTAACTACAATACACATTTTTTCAAATCTATGAATGAACAAAAGAGCTCCCCCTCTGTCCCAAGAGCAGTACAGTGAAATGCTTCTCTAATGAGACTTGCCTTGTGATTTCAGCCCTTAGCTATCCCGGTCATAAATGTGAGTACTTTTTCTGTTAAAAAAAATTAGTATCCAGTATTTGAGATCACTTCTTGACTAAATGTTAATATTAATGCCAAATAAAAAGTATACCACTACGTTAGTCAACTTTCTTTTGTTGGGATGAAACATCTGATATGCACAATTTAAAAGAGGAGTGGTTTAATTTGGCTCATAGTTTTTGAGTTTTAGTCTATGGTCAGGTGGCTCAAAGGCAGAAACTGCATGGTAGAAAGCATGACAGAGGAGAGCTGTTCACTTCTTAGCAGGCAGGAAGCAGAGAGATGTGAAGAATCTGAGGAGGTCACACCTGTAGTGGCAAACTTCTTCCAACTAGGCCCTACCTCCTAAGAGCAAATCATCAACAGATCAATTCACTGTTGAGTAGAACTCCTTCATGATCCAATCACCCTCCAAAAGCCCCACCTCTAAACACCGGAGAATTCTGGGGAACATTTTAGATAGAAACAATAACATTCTACCCCTAACCTTAAAAGGCTCATGTTCATCCAATTATACAAAATGTATTTAGTTTTCGTGTAAGTGTTGCCAAGGTCTGAACAGTTTCAGCTGTAATAAAAAGCCCTTCTCCACAGTCTGCACCAAGGTTCAATGCCCCTATAAAAATTTAAAAGAAAGCTAAATGTTTCCAATATACAGTGGCACATAGTAAATATTTCCATTCCAAGAAGAAGGAATAATTATGTTGACAAGAAAGAGGCATCCATGTTCTTAGATTCCAGGAAAATCTCAGAATTAAAATAAACAGTGATAGTAAAAGCTGATGATCTCTTGAAGAGTCCATAAATCCAAATAAATAAGTGAGTAGTTATTAAATAGTTGAGTTACACTAGAAACAATTCTAATTAATAAATGTAGGATGAGTTCTGGCATTATAAATTTACCACATGACATTTGCCATAGTAATGATAGTTCCAGGAAAGAATCATTAATGACTATTAGAAGCAATGAGAAAAATCTGATTTAAGAAAAAAGAAGTTTCACAGTCTGAAATGATCTCCCAAAAAAGTTCTTATTAACTACAAAGTAAACAGTAACTTTCCCATAACCTGCCAAATAGTACTTTAGTTAAACAAGTAATGGACATTGTGATTAAATGAGTGTCCTTGAAGTTAAGTAAGATGATTGCCTTCCAGGCAGAATATAGTTGGGTCTTATTATTTTACTTTTATCCATTCGGTTGCTCTGACTTTTTATTGGAGAATTTGACCCACTTACAGTCAAAATAATGAATGATAGGTAAGGACTTACTGTCTTTTTGCTACTTGTTTTCTACTTATATTGATACTATACTGTTTCCTGCTGTTTTCTTTTGTGGATTTGTGATTTCCTGTATTGGTATGCTTTAAATTCTTTTTATTTTTGTTTTGTTATGCTCTAGATTTTTGCTGGTTTTTATGATGAGGCTTATATGCAACATCTTAGAACAGCTTATATCAAGTCAACAACAAATTTATTGCATAGAACAATTCCACACTTTTATTGCCCCACAAATATTTTATGTTGTGGGGTATCAGAATTTACATCATTTTATAAAGTTTATTCCTTGAGAATTTACTTTAGCTACAGTTGTTATTAATACTTTATCTTTTAACACATTAACTGGGGATAAAGTTCCTTCATGAACTGTCTTTATAGATGTGGAATATTCTGAATATGGGGCTCAGGAAAAATTCTCTGTTTGGCTTTGTGGAGAGTAAAATACAGGCAGCAGGTGATTCTTCTTCTTAAACTTCTAAGTTAGATTTAATTCAGCTCTGTAAATCACGTGGAGGCCTTAGGGTGGTTCCCAAGTATTGGGGTTTTCAAGGGGTACACAGGTTTGTAGGTAGCTGCTGGTTAAACATTTTTTGAAGGGGAGGGGGACATTTTGCACCTGAGACTTTCAGTTCTATCACCTTGCTGAAGCCACTCAATATAGATGTTTCATATCAGATTTTAATTCCGTGCAGTTTCTTCATGTAGTTCTCATTTTTATTTAGAGAGTTTCTGTATTTTAGATACAAATATCTTCAAACCTTTGAGTGCTTTTTGGAGACTTTGATTGCCAAGTTTTTTTCTCTCTTTTTTTTTTTAATCAACCCAGTAGATATTCTCAATGCCAGGCCCTGCACTCCAAAGATGCGCTCAGCCCAATTACATAAAGCTGAATGCATCTACTCTTACTAAAATTGCTTTTTTTTTTTTTTTTTTTTTTTTTTTTACTTTGCCAGACCCTACTCCATCCCATATTCACTTTGGTTTTTATTTTTTTTCTTCAGGCTTAGGTCAAAGAGGAATTTTTAAAGTAGAAGAAATAAATAACAAATCAATGAAGGCTGCTACAGAAAAATAATTCCTTTTCATCACCTTGTTTTTAGTAACTTACTATCATGTTACTCTTCTCCATCCTCAAAATACAAACAGAAAATCAACCAAAGTCAAAGTATCAAAAGTGATAAATACATAACTTGCTGCTTATTGTAACATCTAGTGAACAAACCTGCCCCTCTAAAATGATGTATATCTGTGCTTGGTGAAAGATAGAAAATGGTAGTGAGAGTGAGGTCACTAAAAGCCTCCAACTTCTTACTAACTACGACCAATAACAGACACATTTCAATTCATCTCTGCCCACTCAAGTTGCATAAAATACTCTCCAAAATGTGGGTATGGAAGCTCAATTGTGTAAGTCCACTGTCAAACTCATTTTTAATTTATGAACATGTATAACCTACTGTGTAGTCAATAACAATCCATGCAGAAAATAATTAACAAGGAGACCCAAGGCTATCCTTAGAAAGGCTCCCTTACAGGGTTGACACTTGATAGGAGTCTGGAACTTAAATAGTAAACCATTCTCTGTGCTGATACAGAATTTCCTTAAGTGATGGAATATGTCTTGTTTATATAAATATGATATATAATATGTCTTGATTATATAAACAACATGGCTTATGTGAATGTCTATTTTCCACCTGGAAACCGGGGATCTTGATACATCTAGAAAGAACTCTATGATGATTTTTCACTGAAAGCCTGGGGTGTTGTGTATCTATATAATAAACTTCCCCGGTAGACAACACTTCACCCATATTGACAAAACTCCTTGATGCAGGAAATGAGTTTTTACTGTGTTACTGCAGTGATCGAAGATTCGTGGGAACTTGTGCCTGCTTTCTCTACTTTCCCCCCACGTGACGTTTTTCTCTGTTGATTTATTCTAAGTCCTTTACTGTAACAAATAGCAGCTGTAAAGCACTACATACTGGGTTTGAAATGGGGAGTGGTCTTTCAAGCTTCTCAAACACAACTTTTGATTGAAATGTCCACATTAAGATGTATGAATTCTCAATAATTGACTAATGCATTCTCTGTGAATGAGACAAGTGAGTAACCTCTGCTGATTTTAAAAGATTAATAACATGGTGGCTGTGTCTGCATATAGACTTTGTAAAAAGAGTATTCAGTTAACTGAGGCAAAGTAGAATAAGGTAAATATATGGGAATTTTGAAAATGCAGACACATATTGTTCAGATTATCACAAAAGCTAGAGATATATAAATTACCCTTATAAAGACAAGTTGGTTTTGGCAGGTTACAGTACAAGTATATCGGGAAATAAAATACATTAGTGATTGCTGTATATGACACAAATTAGTGTTTTCAAATGCTCTTATTTAAAATCTAAATAATCTGAATATCTTATTACTTAGTTTCATGAAAAACTGATGAACTGTTACAAAAAGTCCGTCAGAATTCATTAATATTTTAAAGTGTTCCTCTTATTAAATTCAAACATAGAACTGTGCTCTATTTGTTTCTAATTGTGTTTCTTTTCTGTCTCTCCTTTGTTAAGGTCCATCATGAGTGACAAATGGGACTCAAGCCCTTTTGACAACTGGGATCTCACCTGGAATGTTAATGACACACAGCATCCTCTGGTCTCAGATATTAATATCACCTATGTGAACTACTATCTTCACCAGCCTCAAGTGGCAGCAGTCTTCATTATTTCCTACTTCCTAATCTTCTTCCTGTGCATGGTGGGAAACATTGTGGTTTGCTTTGTTGTAACAAGGAACAAACACATGCACACAGTCACTAATCTCTTCATTTTAAACCTGGCCATAAGTGATTTACTAGTTGGCATATTCTGTATGCCTATAACACTGCTGGACAATATTATAGCAGGTATGTTGGATTATGAGTAATGCAAAGATGATATGGAAAAGTGTAGGCCAGATATCATTGCAGCCAAGACAGGATCTTTCATTCATTCACAAATGTGTATGGAGTCCAAAAACCACCTCTGCCCTTATGAGGTATATATTCTAAAGGACAAGATAGACAATAAACAGACATGTAATTAAAAGTACTTACCAAGAAAAATAAAGCAAGTCAGAGAAACAGAGTAGAGATCTGTGAAGGTTATCAGAGAATGAGATCTAGAATTTCTTTTCAGAATCTTTGAATTTCCTTGAAAGAGAATAAGCCACATACAGTAAAGCAGAAATAGTATTAAGTATATTATGGACTATAAAATTCAAGGATATGTATCTGATTCCAACATAGCATCAAATAAGTTTCCATCTAATATAGAAGAGATATGCAGGCCCTGCTGTGGTTAGCAAGGCAGATTTCTTAGTTTGGGGGGAATGATAGAACAGCCCAAATGATTTCTCAAAATAGGGCAGTTTACACACACAGCATAAGTCATTCTCATTGTGAGTCTCAGGATTCACATGTGGTACTTTTGGGTCCAAAATCTTGCTGCTTTAGCACCAGTTTCTATGCCACAAGGTGCCAGAACACCATATTTCCAGATCCCAGGAGAGTTTCCATGCTGAAGTAGCTTATACGTGTTGTACATATGACTGAATAGTACTCCAAATACTGACACTGAAATCTAAAAAATGAAGTAGTCATAGAACAATGAATATATTAGAGCAGCATACGGCTATCATAGCTTTTATCCTTTCAGGGCACTCAACATCAGTTTGGCAAAGAATATGAAGATAAGCTTTTCTTTGGAGTTTTCCTCTGCTTTTTCCTTTGTCTGGAACAGAAGTTAAAGAGAATTCAGAGTGTTTATTTTATCAGTTACACAGTGCACAGATTCTAAGTTTTTATGATGTTTGTCATTAAACAAATATTTATGGAGGAAGTAGCATGCTCAAGATATTTTGCTAGACAAAGAGAGTTTAAAAGAATTGATAAACAATTATTGTTACTCAGGCAAGGTACTTTGCCAAGAACTGCTCTCAATATTTTCACCCACAAATATTTTATAATTTATTTTCCTTGTTTGGGGTTTGTACATGTACATACCACATACTTTTTTCTCATTGAGTTTATTGGTACTTTTAAAGTATGTAGTGCAGTTACATTCATCATTGGGGTCTTGTACCTTTACATGACAGGTCTTGGTTCTCATTTTCCCCCTACCACTTCCCTCTCTTCATTTACTCCCCCCCCATTTACAACAATTTTCCTTTTTCTCACACTTTTTCTTTTCCATTATTTCCTTTCCCCTACCCTTCCCAATTCCTCTACATCTTTAGCCCCTTTCTTCCTATTTCACATTGTCAGTTATATAATTTGGATCTTATTTACACTTTTAGTTTTTCACACCAGAGAAATTATTCAGTATTAACATATATGATTTATTTCACTTGAGTATGGCCTAAATATGCATTCATTTTCCTATGAATGACTCTAGTTTCTCATTCTTTATGGCTGAGTAGTACTCCATTTTACAGAAAAACCACATCTTTATCCTGTCTCCAAGTGATGCAAAATTGAGATATTTTCAAGTTTCAGCTATTGCAAACTGTGCTGCTATAAACATGGGTGCACATATATCACTGTGATATGATTCTTTTAATTCTTTGAAAAGCTACCCAGCAGAGGGAAAGCTGGGTCAAATGGAACCTCTAGTCCTAGTTCTTTGAGGTATCCCCATATTGATTTCCATAGTGGTTGTACCAGTCTGCACTCCTACCAACAATGGCACAGGGTTCCTTTCTCACCACAAACCTGCCAACATTTGTTATTGGTTGATTTCTTAATAGCAGCCATTCTTTGTGGGGTGAGGTAGAATCTCAGTGTTATTTTCACTGCATCTCTCAAATGATCAGTGACGTTGAAAATATTTTCATATATTTGCTGCTTTTACTTCTTTGTCTGAGACATGTCTGTTCATTTCAGATGCCCATTTTTAAATCTGGTGTTTATATTTTGGGGCTTGATTTTTTTAAATTCTTTATCTATTCTGTATCATAGTCCTTTGTCTGAGAAGTATCTGGTAAATTTTTTTCCCATATTGTAAGTTACCTCTTAGTTCTGTTGGTGGTTTATTTTGCAGTGCAAAAGCTTTTTAATAAGATGAGATCGAAGTTGTTCATCCTTTGTGCTACTTCCTGTGCTACTGAGGATTTATTCATGAAGTCTTTTCTGATGCCAATGTCTTTGAGAGTTTCCTATGCCAATGTCTTCTAACTTATCTTCCAGCAAGTTTAGTGTTTCTGTTTTGATTTAGATCTTTAATCCACTTTGATTTTAGTTTAGTGCATGGTGAAAGATAAGGGTCTAAATTTGCTAAATTTGCTGATGATATGATACTTTAAATTCAAGACCCCCAAAATTCCAGGTGTCAGCACAACCAGGAGGCCCAAGAGAATGGCGGTGATGCTGTAGAGGCACCTGCACCACTGGGCCGTTCTCACTGGTCTGCTCCAATGAAGGCCCTGAGACAATGGAGAGTGGGGGAGTGGGAGCTCCCTGTGCAGCTAGATGTTCCTCACCAGTCTCTACATACCACATCTTAATTCATTTTTCTGAGTGCTAATTACTCTGCCTTTCCCTCAATTTCAATTCCTAGGAGACAGATACTATCAGCTCATCCTTTCCTATAATATATGAGGTTCCAACTATAGATTACTTAAATTTCACTCATAATTCTGCATAAATACAAACATACATTTAAGCACTTCACCTTCTCTCTTTCTATCAATGTAATGACACAATAGTCTTTATTTACACCAATATCCAGAGTATATATTTTTATGTTATGTGTATCTTATCCTTGCCAAGGCAGTGAAGTGCTCTGATATCAATTTCACTGATGAAATGTTTGTTTTCCTGGCTTTACTGAGGACATCATTGAGTTGGAAAGGGACACGAATTCAACAGTCCTACCAAGTTTGTTGCTGAAGCTCTCTGTGTGTGAAGAACAGAAAAGGTGTTTCTTATAGGCTAAGAGGCTTTTTGTAGAAGTTGGTTTTTTGTTTGTTTGTTTGTTTGTTTTTTGCAGGCATTTGAAGGGAATGGGTCAGAGAAACACTGAGCTTGCTGCTTGCTGATATATCTTCTGTGAACTCTGCAACCTACTGACATGTTCTCTGTGACCTAAGTAAAATGAAACTAGTGTTTCTCTAAAATGATGAGGGGGCTTAGTGGAACTGGTGGTGTCCCTGCCTGGGCTCTATCAAGGGTGCTTTGATTTTCTTAGTTTTTGCTGTATACTTATTGATGAGGTGCCTTTAAATTCTCTTCCCAGAGTGTTACTTTCATGTTAGCATCTTCAAATATATCCAGGAATCAATGAACTGCATCTCCTGGTACTCTGACCCTTTCCCTATCTAAGTTTGAGATAAGTGACTGCTATTGGATGTCTCTCCACTGCTTTGGCAGGGATAAGATACATAGAAAATAGTAATGTGTGCTCTAGATATTGATTTAAATAAAAACTATGGTATTTTTACCTTGGTAGAAAGAGAGGTGAAGTGTATCTAGACATGCATATGTTCATGCGGGGGAAGTGAATTATAATAGTTCCTTGTCACTCTTCTGTGCTCCAATGCCTGTGTTCTGCATGTCATGTATGCTTGTTTCTTGGTTTCTTCTTTCCTGATAAATGGACATTGAAATAAAACTCATTTGAGATCTTGTATGTCTAAATATATCTTTATTTTGCCTTGATGCTTGATTATAATTAGGTGTATGAGGAGTTCTAGATTGGAAATTTGTTCCCTTAGAATTTGAAAAAGATTTCTCTTTTGTTATTGCTTTGAAATGTGGAGTTACTGCTGGAGAATCTGGTGTTATTTGACAGTCTCATCTGTTATTCATGATTTGTATCTTTTATTCATAAAAGTTTATATATTTTTATCCCTACTTTTTCATAATTTTAAGAAATATGCATCATAAATCTTTTTGTTTTATATTTATTGCACTGGACACACACTTGCTATTTCAGTTAGAAAACAAATATTCTCCAATCCTGGTGGATTTTCTTGCAGAGTTCTTTCCATTTTTCTTTCTTCTTATATTAACCACAGACTAAAGATTCTGAATTTCCCCTTTTCATATTTTTTCTTCTATTTTCTGTCCACGACTATTCATTTTTCAAGACTATGTCTACTTTTTTTTTCCTTTTGTTCTTGGTACAAGGGATCAAACTCAGGTTCTTGTGCTTGTGCAGCAGGCAGCAGAACCACTAGCTAAATCCCCAGTCCTGACTTTGTGTACTTTCTCATTGAATTTTCTGTTATTGTTAATTTCTGTTATTAAATCTTTTTTTTTTATTGAGTTTATTGGTACATTTAGGGATACAGTACAGTTACATTCATTAATGTCTACTTTTTTTCCTTTTGTTCTTGGTACAAGGGATCAAACTCAGGTTCTTGTGCTTGTGCAGCAGGCAGCAGAACCACTAGCTAAATCCCCAGTCCTGACTTTGTGTACTTTCTCATTGAATTTTCTGTTATTGTTAATTTCTCTGT